TTAACTATGGAGCTACAATACTTCTACACTAAAAAATATAAAACACTATTTAAAAGAAAGTAAAGAAGAACTAAATAAATGTAAAGGCATCCCATGTGCACAGACTGAAAGACCTAATATTGTTAAGATAGCAATAGTCCCCAAGTTGATCTACAGAGTTAAGCAATCCCCTTCCTTTTTTTGCAGAAATGGATACACTGATCCTAAAATTCATGTGGAATTATAAGGAACACTGAATAACCAAACAATCTTGAAAAAGAAGGGAAATTTGGAGGTCTCACTTCCCAATCTCAACACTTTCTACAAAGTGACAGTAATCAAAACAATATGGTACTGATATAAGCACAGACATATAAATCAATAGAATAGAATTGAGAGTCCAGAAATAAACTCATACAGCTATGACCAGTTGACTTTTGACAAGGGTGCCATGCTCATTCAATTAGAAAAGAATAGTGTTTTAAACAACTAAATAGCCACATGCAAAAGAATGAAGTTGGACTCCTACCTCACACCATATACAAAAATTAACTCGAAATGAATCAATGATCCAAATGTAACAGCTAAAACAAACTTAGAAGAAAACATGAGTAAATCTTCATGATCTGAATTTAGTAACACATTCTTAGATATAAAACCAAAAGAAAATTTAGATAACATGGGCTTCAAAATGAAAAAACTTTTTAGCATCAAGTACACTATCAAGAAAATGAAAATATAACCTATAGAATGGAATAAAGTTTTGGCAAATATCTGATAAGCATTTCATATCCTGAGTAGATAAAGCACTCTTACAACTCAACAACAAAATGGCAACACAATTAAATAATGGGCAAAAGAATCTAAATAGATATTTCTCCGAAGAAATTACACAAATGGCCAATAAGCACATGAAAAGACGCTCAACATCACTAGTTATTAGGGAAATGCAAATTAAAAACACAATGCGATACTATTTTGCATCCTACTAAGATGGCTCTAATAAAACAAAACAAAATATTTTTTGTTGTTTGAAAATAGCAGTTAGCAAGACTGTGGAAAACCAGAAACCTCATATACTGATAATGTGAATGTAAAATTGTGCAGCCCACACAGAAACATTTTGGCAGTTCCTCAAAAAGTTAAACATAGAATTATTATATGACCCTCCAATTCTACTCCTAGTTATATACCCAAGAGAGCAGAAAACATATGTCCATACAAAAACATGTACACAAATGATCATTGTATCATTATTCATAATAGCTAAAAAGTAGAAACTCAAAAGTTCAACAACTGATGAATAGATAAACAAAATATAATATATCCACACAGGTGAATGTTATTTGGCTTTATAAAGGAATGAGGTACTGGTATATGCTACAATAAGCAGGCACCTTGAAAACATCATGCTAAGTAAAAAAGCCAGACACAAAAGGACATATATTACACGATTCTATTTACATGAAATGTCCAGAACTCACAAATACATGGACACAAAAAGCGGTTGCCAAGGGCAGAGGGGAGAGAGCAATGGAGAGTGACTGCTAATGAGCACAGGGTTGGAGGGTGATGAAAAAGTTCTGGAATTAGGTAATGGTGGTGGCTGCACAACACTGTGAATACAGTAAAAGCCACTGAATTGTACACTTCAGTGGGGTAAAAACGGTGAAATTTATGTTATTTGAATTTCTCGATTTTTTGCAAAAGAAAAACTCTACGAATGGATAAATGTTATTGCTACACTACTGATGAGACAAGTCAAGTCACGTGCCTCAAACCAGATTAGAACCAAAATTGACTGCACCTCCCAAACTCTCCTATTTAAGCACTAAACTACAAAAAAAAAAAAAAAGAAGTTAAAATTCAACCCTAAGTCTCTACTGGGTGGGGTTCTGTGTTTTTGTTTGGAGGGGTGCAGGGCAGGAGGAGGAAAGGCCAGGCCGGGAGGGCCGGGACACTCACCGCTTCGTCCTCGCGACCGCCACCGCCTCCGCCGCTCAGGGCGCGCGTCCAGCCCGGCGCGGCGCCTCCCAGCGCCCCGCAACCGCCCCCACGCCGCGCAGCCGCCCGCGGGCGGGGTTGCGGCCTCGGCCTCAGCCTCACGCGGACCCCGCGGAGGCGCGGCCCGGGAGCCGGGGTGGCGTGGGAAGTGGAGAACCGGGGGCCGGCAAGGTGGGGGGAGTGAGGGCGACCCTCGAGCACCGCCCCCTGTCCCCTGTACCTCCCGGACCCCCTCTACCCCCACCGAACGTGCGCCCACCAGCACCAGCTCACCCTTCTCAGGCTTCCCAAATATTTCACCCCTTGCTCCTCCCCCGCCCGCCGCACCGTCCCCCACCTCCGGAATGGCAGAGGCTGGGAGTAAGGACAGCGAGATGCTGGAGATGCTCGCCTTGACCGCAGCATTTAAGGGGAAGCCAACTCAGCAGCCAAGATAAATACTTTAATACAATTTTTTTTAATTTTTAAAATAAAATTTAAATATAAAAGTACATGAGGAGCTATATTGGAGTCTAAAGCAAAAGGAAAAAAGAAATCTGTAATCCTGACTCTGTAGTTAAATTTTTTATATTCTGTTCGTTGAGGATTTTTTGCGTTAATTTTCATTATTTTAAAATATTGCTTTGAAATGTTTTAATATTTTTCTTGGGTACTGAATATGTCCCATAACTTTTGTGTGGTAAGTGTGTACCTCAGTCACCTACTTGCCTCACCGTGGTGACAGCTCCGCCTTGCGGTCACCTTCAGTGTGCTGGAGGCAGAAGTCTAGGGAGGTGCAAGGGACCACCTCCTCCCCGGGGGCTGTTAGGGGTTATTAGGAACTTCTGGTGGCTCAGGCACAGGGTTTCAAGGGAAAGCAGGGAAAGGGGAGTTACTCCAGCTTCCTAGATACTGGCCCCACATTACTGGTAAGTTTATTAATATTCTTTCTAAGTCATTACTACTAATAGTAATTTAATTATTTTAATAATAATGAAATAAGAAACCTCAATAATACCAACTAATATTAATTAATGTACTACTTATTAATAGTACTTATTATTGGAGCCTTAGGACAGTTCTCTGGTCTCAACAACACTGATTCAACCAAGATCAACTTTCTCAGTGCTATTTTACTGAGGACCTGGGTGATGTTAACCAAAGCTTTATAAGCAAGATGATTTGAGGTGATTTACAGACTTGTCGTGTTTCTACAAGATTCACTGGAAGAAAATACTGGAGCTTTCTATTTAAACAGGGCTGAATTCCTTAATTTAGATGGAAGCAAATAAATATCTGTCTTTTCTATTTCATATCTCTCTTTTAGAGAGATATTGCCTTTTTCGCCTCAAGAACAGTAGCCAAACTGTTGATTTTCTTTATTTCCCCTGTGTTTTTTAAGCCCCAAAACTGTTATGTAATAATTATAATAACACAAATAATGGTTCATAAACATTTCTGTAACCCCAGCAACCCTGGGCATAAATTTCTAGGGGTAGCGAACGGAAGAAACAGAATTATGTGATTGAAATCAACTTTTCCCAACCACCAATGTCTTCCTTCTTTTTTGATAATATGTATTTATTATGTGGCTACTCTGTACCAAGCACTGTGCTAAATGCATTACATAGAATTTCTTATTTCATTGGTACATATTTTGACATTTGTTCATCCACTGTCTTTTATGATTTTGTGACCATTTCCTAAATTCCAACCAAAATACCAGCAGAGCACAACTTAAGCACTCCCCACCTCTTGAGCCATCCTCCCAGGCTCCACTCTTGCTCATGTTTCAGCCTACACATTGGCATGAGACCCATCTTTTCAAATGTTTAATCTCTTTGAGAATGTAATTTACTTCCTAAGAATCACCGTTCTTAGCCTCCTGACGCCAAGATCCATTCCCCATTTTATCTCCTGATGCTCCCAGACACCAGCCTCTTGTCCCAGTCCAACTTATCCGGCAATTCACTGTTCCCAAGAACCGGACAACATTCCTTCCACCCTAGGGCTTCACCTGACCTGAAATGTCCTCTACCTCCCCTTCTGCCAGCATAGCTTAATGTTAGGAGTACAGCTGTGGAGTCTGACTCCAAGGGAAAAGCTCACCTCCTCTGCTCACTTGCTTAGTGACCTCTGACTAAATCCCTTCTCCTCTCAGAGCCTCAGATGGACAGTAGCTACTATAATAACAATACTTCTCTACCTAAGAGGTTGTCCTGTAATTAAATGAGATATTGTCCATAAAGTGCATGGTGCAGTTCCTGGCACATAATAAAGATTAATAACCTGGTGTTGTTATCAATGTTGTCATTACTATTACTATTTCAGATCTTGGTTTCATGAAACCCTTCTCTAACCACTCCAGGTCAAAATAATCTCTTTCCCCTCCCCCGCCCCCTTTCTCTTCTCTTTTTTCTTTCAATTACAGAAAGCACTTACTTTTCCTATCCCTGATTTGGCACAGGATGTACTACCTTAAGCCTTCCACTGTTACCTTCCTGTGGGTACAATGTCTTATTTCCCCAACTCAAGTAAAAGCTCCTTGAAGAAAAGACCCTGCATCTTGGCTTTTTGTGTGATGGAAGCCATTAATTACACCTTGCCCTGGGAACTCCCCCCCTTTTAAAGGTGAAGGTTAGTTAGGTTAGTTAGCCTGTGAGAAAACTGTGCACTTAAAGCAATCAACAGCCGGGGATCTAGCGGTGGGGGTGGGAGGCAGAGTAGGGTAAGAGACTCGAGATGGGGGCAGATTAAAAAGAAAAAAATTTTTTTAATAATCCTCTGTCTGCTTTCATCTATTTCCGAGCAGTAGGCAATAATTTAAGAAATAAAGAAGCCCCATCATCATCTACCCCATCTCCCCTGTCTCTTATTTCCCAGGCTGGGCGACCGAGAGACAGTAGCAAATTGCGGAGTTGGTGGGGAGGAGGGGACATAGCGCGACAAAGCCCTCTACCAACGCGTCTTGCCAAGGAATGTGGCCACAGCTGATTACAGGACTTGAGAAAGTGGACCCAAGAATACTAAGTCCCAGCCTGTCGCCTCGACGCCAATCGTGGGCAATCCACCGCTGGAGGGGACCCATCCCGCCCACCCTTGGGAGTTGGGATGGGCGAAGGAGGAGAAGACAGGCCTGGGGGGCGGGGCGGCGTTGCTCCGCCCCCGGAGCCAGGGCGGTGACCGGCAGGTGGCACCGCAGCGCGGCGGGGCGCTCATATAGGGCGCAGCCGGCGGAACCGCGGTCGCGGTGTCGGACCGAGCTTAGCGGGCAGGCGGCGAGATGAGCCGGGCGCCCGCGTTCCTGAGCGCGGCCGAGGTGCAGGACCACCTGGGCAGCTCCAGCCTCCTCATCCCGCCTCTGGAGACCGCCCTGGCCAACTTCTCCAGCGGCCCCGACGGAGGGGTCACGCAGCCCGTGCGCACCGTGGTGCCGGTGGCCAAACACAGGGGGTGAGTGAGACAGGCCGAGGCCAGGGGCAGGAGACGCTGGAAAGGAGGAGGAGGAGGGGAGCACGAAGGGAAGCGGTGGGCGAAGGGAGGAGACGGCTTGCTTAATCATTGCTAATAACAGCTGCCACTTAATATGCGCTACCCACTGTGTGCTAAGCAGGCGCTTTACAGGTGTAACAGACACGCTGTCCACTTAGGTAGGTATTGACGCCGCCATTTTACTAGTGGAGAACTGAGACTTGCAAAGGTTAAGTGACTTAGCCAAGCTTACACCGCTAGTAAGTGACAGAGCTGGGATGGTTTTTGATCCGGAGCCAGGCTCTTGAACATACTATGCATGCTGTCTGCGGAAAGGGCAGAGGAACAGGAAAGGGCCGGTGGGGCAGAGATGCGGGAAAGGGAAAGGAAGGTATAAGGGGCTTTATAGGAGACCCCAGCGTTGATTGGAAGGGGTTGAAGCTGCTCCCTCTCTCCTTGTAGCTTCCTAGGGGTCATGCCCGCCTACAGTGCAGCAGAGGATGCCCTGACCACCAAGTTGGTCACCTTCTACGAGGGCCACAGCACCATCTCCACCATCCCCTCCCACCAGGCTACTGTGCTGCTCTTTGAGCCAAGCAATGGCACCCTGCTGGCGGTGAGCATCTCTCTATCATGGGGTGGAGTGGGACCCTTGGGTCCAGAGCTAGACTCAGAAGTTAGTTCTGCAGGAGCAGGGGGAGTTTTGATTGTGACCACATGTGCCCTACAAGTGGCTGGATACCAGGGACAGTGAGGGTTATCTGTGACCATGTATCTGTTTCTAGGACTGCCTGAGGATGCATAAAGTACAGACAGCACCAGCACGTACTGCTGCTTCAAGCATGGATATGTCATTCTTGTATATGTCCTGGTTGTATCTCAGTTACCCCATACACAGCTTGAACGAAACCAGTGCCAAGGAAGCAGTTATCTACTGAATCTTTGTCAATATGGAAAACAAAGGGTGTTCTGTGATCCCTGGGAGTCTTTTCTGAGGGGTACAAAATGACCTGTTTTAATCTAAACATAGTATCAAAAAGTAGCAGTAGCTCACATTTACTGAGCACTTTTTGTGTGTGGGGTACTGTTCTAAACACGTCATATGTATTAACCCTCTTAATACTTTAAGCCACTCTGTGAGGTGGGTAAATTATTCCTGCCACTTTACAGATGAGGAAACTGAGTCATAAGCAACTATGCCGAACTTATCCAAGTTTATGTAGCTAGTAAGTAACACAGCTGAACTTCAAAGCTGCTCAGTTTAAGTCCACGATCTATGCTCCCTTAAGACAACACTTCACTGCCCTTTTAACTGCTACTTATTGGGCACCTATTATGTGCCAAGCAGGAGATACTGATCACATTCAATTCTGACAAATTCCTCTGTGGGAGTTTTTATTACCTCCCCTTCCCCGCAACTTCTGTCAAGGTCCCTGAGGCTCAGATTAGTAGAGCCACTTTGCTTGAGGTCACACAAAGACCCAGGAATCACTCCTAGGTTTGTCTGACTGTAGGATTTATACTCTTAACTCTTGCACTCTGTGTGCTCCAACAAGCTGGCTCCTAGACTATCCTTCCTTCCCCCCGAACATCTGGCTCATCAAGGAATATTGCTGTTCATTACTCGTCTGAGAAAAGCATCTAGCTCTTCCCAATGTATAGTCGTCCAATGAGGATGGCATCCTTACTACCCACCAACAGTGGTTCCCTGGGAAAGTAGGACCTGGGGCTTTGAAACTAGATGACAGCCGAATCTGCCCAGTAGCTAGGGGATTCAGTGCCTCATCTGTAAAGTGAGAATAATGATGCCTGCCTTTGAGGGTGAGCTGAGACGAATAACTTATAAATGGAGAACAGTGCAAAGGGTGGTTATTAGTATTAGCCAGGCACCATTCTCAACCCTCACTGTGCACCAGAATCACCTGGGGAACTTTCAAAAACAAGGCTGTCTGTGTCGCACCCATAGAGACTCAGGTTTAGTTAATCTAAGAGTGGTATCTGGGCATCTGTCTCTTCACAAAGCTCCCCACGTGTGCGGCAGTTCAGAACCACTGAGGCAGAGTTTCATGGCCCCTGTTCCAGATGTCAAATGACAATCTTGTCTCTTGAGTTCCTTCTTAATTTGGTGTTTTGAGAATCCCAGAGCAAGAAAAGAAAATAGGCAATTCTTGCAGGTTCGTGATGTGCTAGATGTTTCCAGATGTGCCAAAGCATTCAATCCTCACAATAACTCTCTGAATCATTGGCATTATTTTTATTTTTACTGGTGAGGAAACCAGTGCTTATAGATTAAAATGTTTGTTCAAAGTTGTATTTCTTGTAAGTGGGGGAATTGGATCCAGTTCTGACACCAAGCCCATGCTCTCTGTAGGATACTATAACACTTCCTAGGCTACTCTTTTAGAACTGTTTCTCTGTTTAAGTAGTGGATAAGGGTGCTCCTTGCTCACTGTCTCTCCTTACCCCCAAGGTCATGGATGGAAATGTCATAACTGCAAAGAGAACAGCCGCAGTATCTGCCATTGCCACCAAGGTAAGATTATGTCTGGCTGTGCTATTAAGGTGAGCTGGTGGGTAGGGTTAGGTGTCTCAATCTTGAGAGACCAAGGGTGAAGTGAGGAACTTATTTTGATCTTCCAGTGGACATGGCTGGAACTCCATATGCCAAATGAGATATCAGGTGAGCCCAGTAATTCACAAAATTATTAGCTACCATTTATTGTGCATGACCAGATTCCAAGTACCTTACATACATAATTCTTGATCTTCCCATCAACCTTGCAAAGTCGATATGATTGTCTCCATTAGGAATTGTGGCCCAGAGAGGTTATATGAGTTGCCCAGGATCACACAGCCAACAAGTGGTGGAGTAAGAATTTAAAACTTGATCTCTCCGACCTCCAGGACTGCTTTCTTATCCCTGTACTGCCTGTACCACACTGCTCCTGGTAAGACAGTATGGTTGCCACACAGGCCAGAGCTAGTACTACTGCACAAGAGGTAGAGAGAGGGTGAGCTGAAAAGATCTAAGCCAGATTTGTGTACTCATTAAATTAGTATTGCCGAGCTCCTCTCATGTGCTCAGCACTGTTCTAAATGTTGGATACAGCAGTGAACAAAACAGAGTGGCGCACAGAAGTGAAACATAGTATGATTTGCTAAAAAAAAAAAAAAAAAAAAAGGGGTACACAATGACCTGTTTTAACATCTAAACATAGTATCAAAAAGTAGCAGTAGCTCACATTTACTGAGCAATTTTTGTATGGGGGGAGATGTTGCCTTTTTCGCCTCAAGAACAGTAGCCAAACTGTTGATTTTCTTTATTTCCCCTGTGTTTTTTAAGCCCCAAAACTGTTATGTAATAATTATAATAACACAAATAATGGTTCATAAACATTTCTGTAACCCCAGCAACCCTGGGCATAAATTTCTAGGGGTAGCGAACGGAAGAAACAGAATTATGTGATTGAAATCAACTTTTCCCAACCACCAATGTCTTCCTTCTTTTTTGATAATATGTATTTATTATGTGGCTACTCTGTACCAAGCACTGTGCTAAATGCATTACATAGAATTTCTTATTTCATTGGTACATATTTTGACATTTGTTCATCCACTGTCTTTTATGATTTTGTGACCATTTCCTAAATTCCAACCAAAATACCAGCAGAGCACAACTTAAGCACTCCCCACCTCTTGAGCCATCCTCCCAGGCTCCACTCTTGCTCATGTTTCAGCCTACACATTGGCATGAGACCCATCTTTTCAAATGTTTAATCTCTTTGAGAATGTAATTTACTTCCTAAGAATCACCGTTCTTAGCCTCCTGACGCCAAGATCCATTCCCCATTTTATCTCCTGATGCTCCCAGACACCAGCCTCTTGTCCCAGTCCAACTTATCCGGCAATTCACTGTTCCCAAGAACCGGACAACATTCCTTCCACCCTAGGGCTTCACCTGACCTGAAATGTCCTCTACCTCCCCTTCTGCCAGCATAGCTTAATGTTAGGAGTACAGCTGTGGAGTCTGACTCCAAGGGAAAAGCTCACCTCCTCTGCTCACTTGCTTAGTGACCTCTGACTAAATCCCTTCTCCTCTCAGAGCCTCAGATGGACAGTAGCTACTATAATAACAATACTTCTCTACCTAAGAGGTTGTCCTGTAATTAAATGAGATATTGTCCATAAAGTGCATGGTGCAGTTCCTGGCACATAATAAAGATTAATAACCTGGTGTTGTTATCAATGTTGTCATTACTATTACTATTTCAGACCTTGGTTTCATGAAACCCTTCTCTAACCACTCCAGGTCAAAATAATCTCTTTCCCCTCCCCCGCCCCCTTTCTCTTCTCTTTTTTCTTTCAATTACAGAAAGCACTTACTTTTCCTATCCCTGATTTGGCACAGGATGTACTACCTTAAGCCTTCCACTGTTACCTTCCTGTGGGTACAATGTCTTATTTCCCCAACTCAAGTAAAAGCTCCTTGAAGAAAAGACCCTGCATCTTGGCTTTTTGTGTGATGGAAGCCATTAATTACACCTTGCCCTGGGAACTCCCCCCCTTTTAAAGGTGAAGGTTAGTTAGGTTAGTTAGCCTGTGAGAAAACTGTGCACTTAAAGCAATCAACAGCCGGGGATCTAGCGGTGGGGGTGGGAGGCAGAGTAGGGTAAGAGACTCGAGATGGGGGCAGATTAAAAAGAAAAAAAATTTTTAATAATCCTCTGTCTGCTTTCATCTATTTCCGAGCAGTAGGCAATAATTTAAGAAATAAAGAAGCCCCATCATCATCTACCCCATCTCCCCTGTCTCTTATTTCCCAGGCTGGGCGACCGAGAGACAGTAGCAAATTGCGGAG